TTATCTTGTTCTCTCAGATTTCCTGAATTTCAGCCTTTCCTGGCTTTGATCCCCAACCCCTGACTCTCATCTCACCCCTGGACTCCCTGGACCTTGCAGAACGCAGATGGCCGTACGCTTCCTGACCCACCCTGGCTTCCTGGCTGTCAGATATCTGACCTGCTTCTGAGCACAGAAAAGAATAGACACTCTGCCTCCTGCAGGGTCTTCTGTTTTATAGGCTGGGACCTGCTTGGCCACCCCCTTCTCGTTCTCACAGACACTTTTCTTGGCTGCCAAGACTTGACCTCTATCCTACAGACTGGGAACTTAGTTCCCAGCTCAGTTCCCCCTTTTCTGTCCGCTACTCCTATCTGATTAGAAACCTCTGTCTGCTTAACCCAATACGTAATCTTCACGTTCATTGATTTTTCACACACACAAAAAATAATAATTACTGAGTACTTTTGTGTACCAGGTTGTCCAGGCATTGAGAACACATCAATGAACAAAACACAGAAGGATTCCCTGCCCCTGGGGAAACTTAGAATGTGAAGACATGGACGCTAAACAATAGGCATAGTCAATAAACAATATGCCATTCAGGAAGGTCATAAGCAGGATGAAAAAGAGTTTGTAGGGACAGAAGGTTGACCCTGCAGATAGGAGGCAAGTGGTCAGAGTGTCCTTATTGAGAATGTGTCCTGGGAACAGTCTTGAAAAGGGTTGATGAGTCCAGTAATTTGGTTCAAAGCATCATCACCTCCAGCCAGCATCTGCTCAATATTCATACCTGGTTACACAGGTATGCAGCTTGACTTCTCCCAGAGAACTTCTAAGACTTTGTTCTTCCTACAGCGGGGGCTGCTTCTAGTAAGAAGCAGACAGTGCTGTGGCTCTGAGCTTGGTGCAGAAAACACAGGTTTAATCTTGTTTCTGTGGCCAGTTGGGGTGGCTACAGAGCATGTGTTTTTCCCCAGATAGACAGTGGTTTTCTTGAGGGCAGAGACTGAGTCTGTCTTGTTCCCCACTGTAGACTAATGTTTGCATCTTGCATAATAATGAGTGGCACATGACAGGTACTCATAAATACAGCACTTGGTAAACGGATGAGTTCAAAGTTATGTCTTTGGATAGCTTATTAGCCTCATTGTCCTGAAAACATTACTTAACATTACTGAATTATGTATCCTCGAATTTAGAAATACACCATTATGGAATGATTTCTTGCTTCCTTAATAACTTGGTCCCATAAACTAAGCCCACACAGTGTCTGCTGTAATCTCTCATGGTGTAGGTATGTGTGTGTGTGTGTGTGTGTGTGTGTGTGTGTTTGTGTACGCGCGCATGCAAGCACTCCCGCATGCACACCGTGCAGATGGCAGGTGGGGTGGGGGCTGGAGGAACCTGGGGTAGGGAGTGGGCTTGGGTATCAGGACTGAAAGGGTCTCTGGAGCACCAAGTCCAGAGCAGAGGCAGCTGTATTAATAGCGAGGGCTGGGAAATGGCATTGCAGCATCCAAATAATAATGCAGAGCAACGAATAAATGCAACATTAGCTGAGATCAAGAGAATAGTTCATGGTTCACAGGCCAGTGCCTGACATTTCTCAGCTGAGACTCTTCTCTCTAGATGATGAACAAGATGTTTCTTTTCTCTGTTGAATGCTGAGCCAAGCTGAGATGTTTTCTTGAATTCTCTGGCCACCCTAGATGTCAGCTCTTGTCTAAATCTGCTGATGTAGCCCGGGCTTAGGATGAGCAGCAACTGCCCAGAATTCCCTGGCTTTCTCAGCAGTCCTCAGTGTCTACTAAGCTGACTCTCTTGCCTCTTTGATTGCCTTCCATCTGGTCTCCTAGGTTTGCCTCTCATGAAGTCAGCAGTCTGGATGGGGAACCCCTGCGGTCTCTATGTGCATGGAAAGGGGTACACTTGCTAACTCCCTGGGAATACATCCATCACTTTCGTCAGCCACAGCAAGTGTAGTCAGTCATTGAACACTGTTACACAGAAGGCAGCATCCTGACTAAATGGGCCCAAGAGGTAGAAGTCTTCTCTTTCCACCAGGTTCCTGGCTGGAAGCAGATGTTTTATGGAAGTCAGTCAGCATCGAGAGAGTCAGCAACATTTGTTTGGACTCATTGCACGTCTGTCTCTGTGATAGGAAGACAACATTTCAATGTAGAAAAGCTAATGATATTCGTCAGAATCTCTGATTATTTCCTGAGTATTGACTCCTAGAAGTGGGTTTATTTTTCCAAGGGGAAAAGAACTCTGAAGGCTTTTGACTGTCACATATTGCCATATTGCTTTCCAAAAAAGTTGTGCTGATACACATGCACACTCACTGCTGTTGATTTTGCCAGATTTGTCAAGCCATTGCCATTACTAGAGAGTATTAAAAGTTTTTATAAATACAGGAGAGAGGCAAAAATGACATTTCTTTGATTAAATGTTTATTTTTTATTTATGGGAAGGTTGACGATTTAAAAATATTTGTTGGTTTGCCATGGGGAGAATATATGGTGTCTTCTCCAAAGTAGGTCTGAAGGAATATTAATTAACTAGCTTGCTATTTGGGGGAATGGATTTTGTTATTTACTTTTAAATTTCAGTACAGTGAAATTTGTATTCATTGTATAGTGTTGTGCTTTTTGACATATACATAGAATTGTGTAACCACTGATAAAATCAGAATATAAAAGGTCCCTCAAATTCCCTCTTTGTAGTCAAACCCTCTGCCAACCTTTGGTCCCTGGTAACCACTGATGTAGTCTATGTCCTTATATTTTTGTATTTTCTAGAATGATATGTATTTTAATGGAAAAAGAAATTAAATCAAATTTATCAGTATTTTTCTTAAGTGTATTGTGCTCTTATTGTTGAACTGAAAACTCTTTTCCTAATCCAAGATCATGAATTTTCTCTCCATCCCTTTCTCCCCACTTCCTCCCTCCCTCTCCCCCCTCTTTTTCTCTTTCTTTCTTGGTACCAGGGATTGAACCTAGGGGCATTTAACCACTGAACCACATCCCCAGCCCTATTTTTAATTTTATTCAGAGAAAGAGCCTTGCTAAGTTGCTTAGGGCCTCCTAAGTTGTTGAAGCTGGCTTTGAACTTGCAATCCTCCTGTCTCAGACTCCTGAGCTGCTGGGATTACAGGCTTGTATCTCTGAACCTGGCTCTCCTGTTTTCTTCTAAAATTTTTCTAATTTTACTTTTTACTCTTAGGTCTTTAATCCATTTTATTAAATTTTGTACAAGGTGTGAGTTGTAGGTCAAAATTCACATTTTTGTATGTGGGCATCCAATGTTCCAGAAACCTTTGCCAAAAAGTCTTCCTTATTCTATTTAATTGCCTTCACACCTATATCAAATAATCAATTGATCATATGTGTGCAGGTCTGTTTCTGCTCTCTTTATTCTGTTTCATTGACCTATTTATCTGTCTTATACCCAATATTACATTTTCTTGAGTAAGTCCCTATATTTGCCTAATCCAGAATGAGCTGTAAATGGTGTCATATAGTATATAAAATTTGAGTCTAGCTTCTTTCACTTAGAGTAATGAATGCTTTGGAAAGAATAATGAATACTTTGAAGATTTATCTAAGTCATTGTGAACTTCAATATTTTGTTCAGTTTTATTGCTCACTACTATTTCATTGTAGGGATGTACCAGAGTTTGTTTAACCACTCATTTCCTGTTCCTTATAAAAGTTGGCTTGGTTATTCTGTTCCTTTGCCTTTTTAAAAATCAGTTTGTAAATATCTATAAAAGCCACTCAACTGATTGGCATGTTTAGGTTCTCATAAATCTACAGATAAATTTGGGGAGAAGTGGTGTGCTAACAATATGGAGTCTTCTAATCCATGAACATGGTATATCCTTCCATTTATTTTATTATTTAAAAATTTCTTTTATCTGTATTTTGTAGTTTTAGTTAATACCCAAGTGTTTAATGCTTTGGATTTGCCAATGGCACTTTTTTTCTTTTTCAAACTTCAATTTCATATTGTTCATAGCTAGTATAAAGAAATACAGTTAATTATTTGTCTATTGACCTGATTCTGACTTTTCCTTCTTGGAAGCCACCTGCTACGTTGACATGTCCAGATAGGCAGGTGGAGAGACCATGTGGAGAGAGGCCCTGGAAGATGAAAGTCCATGTGGCAGACAACTGATGTGTCCCAGCTGGTAGTCAGTACCAACTGCCAGACATATGAGAAAAGCCATTTTCATGGTCTAGCTCAGTGGAGTTCCTAGCTGAATGCAGCCACAGGAACAAATCCAGTTGATATCACATGGAGCTGAATAACTGCCCAAATTGAGCTCAGCCAACTAAAAATTGTGTAAAATAATGCATCTCTGTTGTTTTAAACAATTGAATTATTGTTTGTCATAGAACAATAGACAGTTGATATAAGGCTTAGCAACCATTGACTTTCCCATTCCAGGGCTCTATGGCCATGAGAACTGGGCTTTGATACTTCTTCCAGTGTCTCCTTGTTGTTAGTCAGACTCAGGCCTGTATCCCTAGAGGTAGCAATTCTCTGCCAAGTCACAGTTCTTTCTCTTCTGCATCTCCTCCACAGTGGTGTAGCCCCAAGGAGAGGCCTGTTCTAGCATCCTTGTGCTGACCCCCTTGCTGTGGACTGTCTGCCTGGCTCCCTGGGTCCAAGCACAATGCTTTATGTCTGCCAGGATTGAAAGCCCCAGGAGTGGTCATTTCTAGTAAATTTGTCCTCCCTCCTGATGAAAGACTTTCTCCTCTGTGGGGCCCATTTCACACTGCTAAAGTGGGATCAGTATCTCTCAGGCTTGAAACTCCAATTTTAGTTTCAAGAACTGATAGCTGTTTAAACCTGACCTAGAACTTGTAGAATGGTTTAACTTTATTACCTGTTTAGAATAATGCCTTGGAACCCTGGAGCAAAGACTAATTCGTTAAAAAAAAAAAAAAAAAGTCAGGGCAAAAACTTCCTAACATGCTGTTACTAGTAATGCAATCAGGGACATGTTTCTAAGCTTCTGTAAACTTTATTTTCTTCACTTGTAAAATGAAGTATAATAATGAAGGAGAGTAATACTTGAATAGGTAACACATGTGCATTGCTGGGCATCCTGACACATAAACAACGGCTTCATAGGAGTAATTATAATTAATATTGAAAGTCAGAGTTACAAGGGGCCCTTAGAGATTATTTACCCCAATATCCTCATTTTTAAGAGGGGAAAGTGAAGCTCAGGAAGACTGAGTGAGTCACATAAGATTGCACAGCTCGTTAGTAGCTGAATTAGGACTGAAACATTAGTTTCTCAATCTCTAATCATATACCTCTGGCCACAATTCTTTGATTTAGGAGGTTAGGAGGCCCTAACTAATAATAATAATAATAATAATAATAATAATAATAATAATAACAATAATAATAATAATAATAGGAAGAAGTTACCAAATACTAAATGTCTACTTTATGGGTACTCTACATATATTATGTCATTTTATCCCCATAATAACCCTGTGCATTATTATCTCCGCTTAATAGATGAAGACACTGAGACTCAGAGAAATTAAAATCTTGCCTAAAGTCGCCACAGGCAGTATAAAGGGGCTCCCAAACCAGCCCTGCTCCTCTACCATCTCATGCCCTTCCTGGGTCAGGTTGGGGAGCCTGAGAACCATAAGGAAGAAGCATTGCTGTAGGGCCTGGCACCGTCCCCGCTGCATTTCTTCTTAGTCCTTGGAGGCAAGAGCTGGTGTGCATGCAAGAACCTTTTATTCCTTCTTCCACACAATTCTTTCAACTGAAACCAAGTGACCAAAGCTTAACTGTGATTCTGCAAAACTGGCGGCAAGAGGCCTGGCTGGGGCTTGGGCCACTCACCCCAAACGTGATGTGCACTGAGAGAGGGGCTGACATTGTTTAGCTCCCTGCTCAGCAGTGCCCAGCCGAACCTCCCGATCTGAATTGAGCCCTTAATCGTTTTCCTGGCATTTGCTCAGACAGGATTTTATTTTTCTAGTAATAAAAGCTCCTACATGGTAGGGGGAAAAAAAAATCTGCCTTCTTTTCCAGCTTTTGTAAGTGCTTCGCCACCTGTCCTTTCCCCCCTGTGTTTGGGCTTGGGGCAGAGCCAGGTTGTTTTGTGCCTGCTGTCAAGTTCTGGGGGCTCCGAGTAGGCAGAGAAATGGACTCACTGGCCGTGCCTCTGTGCTCATGGCTGGCAGCTTCCCAGCCCATGGACTGAGAGGTCTAATCCCACCAGCTTGACTTCTGGGTCTGCAGGTGGCACCAGGAAGATGATCTTGGAGAAACAAAAAGGAAGGGAGTCACTGGGGGAAGACCTCCTACCTAAGCAGTTCTCCCTGGCTCACCCTTGGCTACCTTAGTCTTCTGCTTAAGAATTGTCAGTGGCTCCTCAGTAGGTGCTGAATGAAGCACCCGCTTTCCAAATGGTGTTAATCTTAGCCTCTTTTCTTTCTGTTGGTGGGAAGAAAGAAAACATAGATACACAAAGTATAAAATAGAAATGCATCAGAATCTTCATCACTATATCTAATACATGCACACGCACAATCTATACATATATAATATTTATTAGATATACATATATATTAGATACCTGGTTAGACATTTGTGTGCACTTGTGTATAGAAATCTAATATACATCTATTAGATTTCAATGCCTCGTGGCGTCTTGCCTTTCTAGACTTATAATTTGACAACTCCTGCAGTGCGCTACACTTTCTCCACACAGAATTCGCCTTTGATAACAGATATCAAGCACTTTCACATTGCTGAGACTTTGGATCTGCTGTTGTTCTTTCTCCCTGAAATATACTTTACACTCTGCCTGGCACACGCTGAGCTCTAACAAAATTAGCCATTCCTCTTCCCTTCTGGTCTGGCCTAGGAAACTCCTCCTTACTATTTAAAACTGTGCTAAAATAACTCCACATCTTGGGAAAGCCACACTCCCCAAACCCACACCAAACCCACTCACCCATCAGCTGCTCACTATCCATTTTGGGATCTAGGGGTCAACTATCTTCCTACCCCGTCCATCTTAAGTCTGAGCTTCTCCGTGGCAGTCAGGGGCCAGGTCTTGTTGACTCAGAATCATGGTTGCCACCCAGGATGGGCTGGGGAAATAGGCGTCAGATTCTGTCAGAGGCAGGATTTGCTGGATGAAGCTGAACTGAGGCTTACTGCAGGGGCCTGGGCCACAGTTGAACAGGTCAGAGTCGCCTGCAAGCTGGCATTTATGTGAAAGTTCCAAACTGCTAAGGAGACCCCTGTTGTTTGCTGGGCTCCGCCTTGTCTGGCATGCACCAACCTTCAACCTCAGAGAGCTTTATGGAGCCAGAGAGCTGTCTTGGCAGACCGTGGGTGAATTATTTGCTCTCTTCTTGTTGAGGGAATGCAGGCGTCTGTGTGGTAATACTGGACATGTCTGAAGACATGTCCTCCTCTTAAGACACTTGGGTGAAAATTCTTGATTTAATGGTGGTGGGATGCAGAGAAAGAGAAAAAAAAAAATCCAATGTTTCCACCTCAGGCCAGACTTCCTATCCTATTATTACATGCTTCTTTGGCCCACCTTTGCCCCATTTCCACTTAAAAGGGATGTTTTGCAATTTCTTGTTGTACAGTTGCTGTTCCTCTCTCCGCCTTTCCCACCTCACCCTGCAGTTCCCATGTTATAATCTCACACATCCTTCCCCTTGCCCTTCCCTTTTCTCCCAGACTTGGAAAACACCGGAGATGAAATCCAAAAGAAGTTGTTTACTGGACACGGCAGCTGATCTGAACAGCATTTGCAGAGAGCACAGGCAGATGCTTTCCGATACCTTGGCAAAAACTTCTGGGTGGTCTTCATCAGAGGGGCTTCTGGTTTTGCTGGGTAACACATCTTTTCCCGCAGCCCCCGAGGGGGAAAAAAATGAAACAATTGAAATGACTAGAAACAGCAGCTATGGTACCTGGACTCATGTGGCATCTAACACTCATCCTGACTTAATTGTGACTTGAGTTTCTCAGGGCTCACCCACCTGTGAGTATCATTCTTGGGGTCAGATGTGAGGAAGTTTCCTATCTTTGCTGACTCTTGCCAACTCCAGGCACATTTCATGGCCACTCACAGTTTTTCCTCTTATTCTCCTTTTCTCCTTCTATGCAGACAATGTCTATAAGTCCCTAGGCAGCTTGAGGGTGAGGGGTAGCAGATGCCTTATATGGTATCTGGATCAAAACACTTTTCCCTATAAAGAAACTGGGTGATTAAATAGCATCTTTGCTTTGAAGCTTTCCTTATGCTGGAAAGAGCACTCCATTCACCCCTTTCTGCGTCATGGTTTGTCAATAGGTCCTAAGGTGGCAGTGGTAATGTCCCCTTGGTAAAGAAGTTCTTCCAGCTCCTACATGTCGCTCCTTTCTCTGAATTCTGACTCCTAGCAGTGGGGCTGAGCTGGGCATGGATATCTGAAGCCTCCCACTTGCTGCCTATGGGTCTTTTTCTCTTGTTATGTAAGCAAAACCACTTCCCCATCCTCCCTGATGCCCCGAGTGCCAGTTCATCAAACCCACCCAGGAATGGCTGAAATCCAGTTGAGGCTCAAGTTAGGGCACCACTGAAATAATAAATGTATTTTCAGTTCTCTAAAGTTTACAAGACCCATTCATGTGGATTACTTAATCTTTGCAACACCTCTTTGAAGCAAGCATGTCTTTGTTCTCATTGTCTGGGAACTGAAGTTCATGGAGGTTAGGAAATGCAGAGATGGCTAATTGTTCCGTAAGAACAGAGCTAAAGATTTCCAGTCCTGGCTATAAGAATACTAGGTGCCCCCCTCTCCTATAAGACTTAGATAGTTGAGGGAAACATGGATAAAATAACAATGGCTGTGATTTCTCACTTGGAGTTAGAGGCAGCTGGTAGCACTGAGAGGTGCCTGAATCTCTGATGGAACAATGGCTAGAGTTTCGTCCTTCAGGCAAAAATAGCCACGGTCTCTTCTCAAGAGGCTTACAGACTCCTGTTATTTTTTTGCTGTTCTTCATTTTTCCATTACACTCCACAGCATTTGACCAGGACTTCTCACACTATTACTTTTGAGTCTCTTATCATGCTTGCTTTATAGTAAGATACTTGGAAGCAGAGACCATGTCTTTGGCATCTTTGCATGGAGTGAATACGATATAGGTGCTCGATTAATGTCAGTGTAATTAAGACAACTTTCTTAATGCCACCCCTTTAAACTTCCAAGTGGGTAATTCAGTGGTAGCCATTTCTTTCCCATGAGTACATCCATCAGAGGGTGGGCATCGTGCCATCAAGCAGAATAAACTTAAACCTGTTGGCCTCTTGCCTCAATTTCCATGCCCTTATGTTTCCCAGTTGCCCCACTTTGGTCTGAGGATATACCTCACTCTCAGCTGCCTCCTTGACCCTCTGATGTTTCTGAGCCCAAATCAATTCAGGCAAGAAGTGGATTGACCACCTCAGTGCCTCTGCTGGGACTTGATGGCCAGTCATCCACTTGAACTTGGGTTTGATGATCTATCCACACGGTCTGATACTCACATTTCCTCAAGTGACATCTGTCTTTTCTCTTGACCATTGTTGGTCTAACCCACAAATCTGGCTTCTATTTGATCTCTGGCTTTCAATCACCCCTAAAGGCATAGTCTCCTTTAAGGACTAGACGCAGACCCTGAACTTAGCTTGAGATCAGGCCCTGACATTATACAGCTGTCACCAACCCTTCTCCCTGGGACAGGAACCTGGATCTTTATACCAGGCCATTGTGGCCCCTGGACAATTTGTCTACAAATAACCTCCTGCCTGCCTGCCTGCCTGCCTGGGTGGATTCCTCTCCACTGCGTTCCACACATTTGATTGGACCAGTTCCTTCAATCACCCCTGGGCTTGCTGTGTCCTTTGGCCATTTTGCCTCACCCATCTGGCTACCATTCTGATATTTGCCTTCGCAGCTGAGCTTATTCCTTTTGCTAAAGGCTTGGCTGTGTACACATAAGGCCAGGATTTGTTTTGTCGTCTCTGTCTGCTCTGCATGGCTGGGAGATGCCTGTAGTGTTGTGTGCATGCCAAAGCTAGAAATCCGTTTGGTTTCATCTTAACATGCTCTTTAAGAGGTTTGGTGTGAAAGTTTGACACTAATTGGATAAAAAAGGACTGATGGATGGGAGAATTTTTATTGATTTATTCTGTCCCTCCCATGACTAGTTTTTCTTCCCATAGTTAATTGTATTATGAATATTGCCTTCTTAATACCTTAAAATCCATTTGTGTCTCTCTAGTACTTTTGTTTAGGCTGCGATTACTTCTTACCTGGGGCATAACCATGGTCCTTCATTTGCTCTCTAAACCCCACTTTCTCCAAACCAAAGTTTAAAAGGCCACTTGAATGATCTGATCACGGCACCCCTCTATCAGATGTCTTTCAGTAATGTCCCATTGCCTAGCGACGTCGTTCACAACCTCCTCAACACTATGGCCCATATCTGAAGGAGGATATTCAGGTTCAGAACAAATTATGGGCACACCACACTATACACATTTCCTGCATGATGGTTGAAACATCCCCTCCTTTTCTTCATCATTGTAAAACAAGTGGCAAATGATGAAGGCAAATGATGGGAATTGTAGGTGCATCATAGAATCTGATCTAACTTATATAAGAAACAGACTACTGGCAAAAGTGCTTTACTGCTGTAGTGACAAATGACCTCAGAGTGATAGGATACTCTTTGGGGAATCACACTGAAGGACAAAGTCCCAACCTTAATATGTGTACAGAGCACTTCATGACCAACCACTGTCTATATGTCCCTCCTTATTTCCTGTGACCATTATCACCACTCAGCACTACAAGGGTCCCAGGGGGAAGCATGATTTCTTTGACACCTGGAATTGGACAAAGACTGTCCTTCATCTGGGATCCTCTTTCCCATTCTATCATCGAGGTCTTGGTTTGGACGTCACTTGTTCCAGGTAGCATTTCTCTGATGTTCCAGTCTAAGTGCCTCTTCTTCAAATTCCCATGTTACTTAGTTCTCTTTGGCGAAACGGTTCTGAAAGTATCTGTCTCCCACAGACCATCGTCTCTTTGAAGACAAAGACTGTGTTATCTTGTTTGTTCCTGTATCTCCAGAGCCTATGAGTGTACCAAGCACAGAGAAGGTTTCCAGTGAATGAATGAAACAATGAATGAATGAATAATTGATATTCAGTGTTGTTTTGGGTTGAATTGTCCCCCAACCCCCAAAGATGGGTTGATGTCTTAATCCCTGGTACCTGTGAATGTGACCTTTTTTTTGGAAGTAGGGTCTTTGTAGATGGAAGGAGGTTAAAATGAAGTTGGGCTGGATTAGGTCCCAAATCCAATGACTAGTGCTCTCGTAAGATGAGGGAAATTTGGATACAGACATAGAAAGAGAAGAATTCCATGTGAAGACATGGAGATACAGGAGAGAGCGAGAGAGAGAAAGAGAGAGAGGAGAGAGAGATCGGGGGAGGAGATGAATGTGAACATACCCCTGATGAGATCTTGATTTTAGACTTAGAGTTTCCAGAACTGTGAAGGAATGATTTTTCTGTTGCTTCTTTGTTATGTCAGCCCTAGGAAATGGATACAGGTTGTCTGTCTATTTATCTATCATCTATCTATCTCAGGAATATTGTGGCACAAGGGCCCAGGTTCCTTTTGAGAGGTGTCACACTGGTCTGGGAAAATGCATCCTGACCGTCACCATTTGTGGATTCAATATAATTGTTAGAAAATATTTTATTACAGCTTTCTTAAAATAACAGTAGATTTCTTAAAATAACAGCATCTTTTTTTTTTTTAATAGCACATTGGCTGAAGTACAATAACATTCCCATCTAGAAAACAGGTGAGGGTGCAAGGGGAGGTATAGAGGAACACTGTTATAACTTGACAATGGGCCAAGGTAAGGACACGACACTTCAGGGAACAAGGAAGCACTGAGCTTGACCAGTATCCCTACTGGGCTTGACGTTATTGCTTAGGGAGGCCAAGAGGCTGGATGGCTCAAACTCACCTCCACTCCATGAGCTGGATGGCTCAGCACCTCCAAAACCACCTCAGTCCTGTGAGGTATCTGCAGGAGGTTTTCTAATAGAATCTCAAGTCGTCCTCAGAACTGAACTTCGGATCATCACTGCCATCTCCTCTCTCCCCTTTCCTCCCTCCAACCTGCTTCACTCAAAGCCATCTTCACTTCTGTGCATGCCAGCTCTCTCCTTGCAGTTGCTCAAGCCCAGACCTTAAGCCACTCTGTGGCTCTTCTGTTTCTTTCACACCTGAGAGCCAATCTGTCAGGCATTCTGTGAGCT